AAACTAATATATATATTTTGTATTATTAGGTGAATTTTGTTTTTTTTGAAGCAAAGGTGAATTTTGTTAAACAATTAAAATATGTGTTTTAGTATATATTTGAAAAGTTTACAAAGACGTGATAATAGGTGTCAATTTGCCCCCTAAATATAAAAGTTACATATATTAGTTTTGAGATGTGAAAAATTACACTGAAAACTCAACCAACACACATTATCAATTAGGGGTGAGTACGAGTAAAATTAGATTGAATTCCTGATTGACTGATTTTTTGAAACCCAAACAACCTAACAAAAACTAAAAAATATGAGATAAGATTGAATTGTAAAATAAAAGAAGTAAAAACTTAAATGAAGATATATTTTATGACATATAATTTAAAATAAATAGTTTTATCTTAAATATAATATTATGTTTTATTATTATTGTATAATAACTTAAAAAAGCTTATACTTTTCAAAGAAATATTAATTATTAAATTAAGTTGAGCCGATTTGAAACTTAAACTCATCTTAAAAGTATACAAAGTTTAATTTTAAAGTCTAAATCAATCTTTAAACTCGATAAAATTAGGAAACAAAGTTGATCATGCTTACCCCTTATCTCTTTTGTCAAAAGAATTGAAAGAATTATATATATTTTTGAATTCTTTTTGACCATGAAATTTATTTTAATTAATATTAATATTTAATTTTTAGTTGTTTAATTATTTAATTTAATGTTATTTATTACTCATTACTTATGTATAAAACATGAATAAGAAATATATTTTATTTTAAAAGTATTAAATAACGAGTCCGAAAGCAAACGCCCCGGTATTGCATTTAATTTCAGGGAAGGTTGAATTAGAATCAAATCAAATCAAATGGTATAAAGGGATTTTAGTTTATTTTATTTTATTTTTTCTGTAAAATTCAATCACCGCAATCCTCAATGTTCCGAAACGCTAACCCCTTCTTCCTTCTCTGAAAACCCTAAAATTTTTGTGAATTTGCGTTTGGTTCATGGAAGTGTGATTCTCTTCTTAAACCCTCCTTCCCGATTCATTTGCTCACCTCGAATCTCACGCTTCCCACCTTCCGAGAAATGTCTCTTCCACCCATAGAGTGTGTATACGTTACAGAGGACTATGTTCGCGAATGGAGGAGTGGCAACCCTGCCCTCAAGGTTTCCGAGCCTGTCCCAATGCTTCGCTTCCTCTACGAGCTCTGCTGGACTATGGTTTGTTCCTTTTCACACCAATGAATTAATTTTAATTTTGCTTCTTTGTTTATTTGTTTTGATTGCTTCATTTTGTGGATTGGGGACTGATTTTTTGTTCTGGGTTGCTTCCAGGTTCGGGGTGAATTGCCGTTTCAGAAGTGTAAAGTAGCGTTAGATTCTGTCATATTTTCAGATAAAGCTTCGACTGAGAAAATAGCTTCAAATTTTGCTGATATAGTCACCCAGATGGCTCAAGATGTGAGTTACTTACTGCCGCTGTTTTTTTTTTTTTTTTTTGCTAATCCTTCTTTATTTCTCCTTCTCATGCCTTCAATATGCTGTTATAGCTTTGAATTCGGTCTCTCTCCTAGTTCCATTTCTAGTATATATAAGCTAAGTGAGAAACATGGAAACTTCTAAACAGTGTTTTTAAATCTGAAGAGACACTTCAAGTATTTTTAGCTGCATTTTTATAGTTTTATACTTTTATTTTTGAACTCTACTGAGATTGAATGCCATCATATAATAACTAGGAAGCATAGACCCTTTTAAATAGTAGTTATGTCCATTGTAACTGTTCTGAACACTTGAATATACCCTTTGGAATGTTGCATGGACATGTCAATTACTTGTAGTTGCATATTTAAAAGTGTTTTACTCGTAGTTGCTACGAAATTGAATGTGATAATAGGTAAGAAGCATAGACAGAAGGTTTTAAATTGCGATAGTGGTTTCCTTGATATTGTGGGAAATGTTGGACAATTCGATTGCTGTAGCCACAATCGTGGTCGTGGAGACTCTCAAAACCTTGATGTTGTGATTGCAATTGCATTTGTGGACCTTTTTCAAAAATCTTACATAGACCCTTTTAAATAGTAGCTGCATCCTGTCGTAACTGTGTTGGATACATAAATTGCATGGTCATGTCAAATACTTCTTTAGTTGTAGCACTTTTGTGGTCAAAATTATAGCAAATATTAAA